TCGTCAAGGGGAAGGAGCATAGATGACCAACTATTGGATCTTGTTCTTATGACTAATTATTCACAGTCCACTTTTATGTGGATTGTTGCTAGTTTATTGTCAGTATTTGCACACATTCAATATTGTCCGGGTTGGTCATCCAACACTATATAGGGTAGTCACTGAAAGACTGAATGACATGAAACAAAAATAACTTTTACAAACACATGTTTTTAAATGTTTTATTATTTTATTTGGAAATATAATTAATGGATTTTTTTCAGTATTTTTTTTCTATAATCCACGAAAAGAGAAAATGAACAAGTTATGACTTTTTCGAACCCTTCAGTTTTTCAGTGGCCACCCTGTACTAGACAAAGAAAAAATAAATATTAATAGATGTGGGAATAGATTTATGGAAATTCATGTTTGCGCAAACGCTCGTGAACATTCAACATTTTAAATGTTGCAACACATATCTCACTTTTGGTACTCTGTATGCATGTTTTTGTAATATTTTTCTCGATTATTTCTGCTTGCTCGGATGGAAGATTTACGAGAGTTTTTCCTTTTAATTAGCTTTGAACTTTGAGCTTTGTGAGTGAAATTAACAAGCAAATCAATGACAATTCGTGAAATTCGCTCTGCTTTCGTCTCCGAATTTTTCCTTGGTACACAATATAATTCTATTATAGTGGAAATTTTCCTATTACTCGGACTTCTTGGCCTAATTAGATCGACCTAACGATGTTTCGCTGAGTCATTAAGAGGCTCCTCAAACACACTAGCAATTTTCACGGACATTTAAAAATATATCAAACAAAAATACCCGAGGAAAAATCATCATGAGAAAATCTCAAAGTTCTCACACTTTTCTTTCGGATTCTTCCCATATTAGCCGTTTAACGTTTGGTTGTTTGGCGGCTCGGTTTTCACGGTTGTTTTCGACGATTTTCAAGCAACGCTTCATCGCGTCTGTCAACGTTCCCCATTGTTGTCTCGAATTGGAAACCGACACATGCCTCTTAACGACTTCTCGACACCAAGAGGGACTTGTACCTGCCGATCCTAAGGAACAGAATGGAATGTGGGCCCAGCAGGTGTGTCAGGGTGTATGTATGGCTGTGGTCGGGCCCTAACGTCTCGCAGGAAAGCCACGGTTGCGTGCACTCGATCGAGAACGAGATAAATCGAACGGTTCTGGGTCACGGACACCAACCAACTCCAAAACTTTACGGGATACGCTGAACTTCAAAGATCTTTCACGCCATTGTTTTCGAGTATTTTTACAGACCGAAAGTTTCTCTCTTTTGCAATTCCAAGAATTTCGAAAAAAAGAACTCGATCTGTTGGGTGACATCAAATGAAGATACTCAACTCTTTCAATCACGCTTTCTCCTCCATTTCGCGACACTGAGTGTTGAATATAAAATCTTATTTTGAAATTTCTTCGTTTGGAATTTGGATTTTTTTATCGAGGATGAACTCGACGTGCTGGGATTTGTTCCAGCTTATTAGGAGATTGTAAAATAATTGAAGTACTTATTGAAAGATCACCAGTCAGACAGTCTAATTATTTTGAAATATTTATGTAAAAATGAATATTGACTAAATATTGACTAAAACTATCAAATTTGTCAAAATATTTTTTTAGTTTCTTTAAAAATCTCTTCAATTGGACTTGGACGTACACCTATTTTACCTAACGAATGTATCTATTTACGGAGCATTGAAAATCATTAATCGACAAGTCTCGACATTAATGAAACGCATCGTACAAACGAAGAAGCTCGAAGTGCGGCGAGAAAATATTTGCAAATGTGTTGTAATGCTTACGTAACGGAGCAACGATCAGGCGAAAAAGTGACGTGCGTTACGTTCGCGTCACACTGCTGAATTTACACCGATCGACGGATACTAACCTTTTCGCTGAAGAGCCGACGCTGTTCCATAGTTCGACGGGGAAATCTATGTCACGACCGAAATAATGCAGCTGTTTCACGCGGCTGTGACGCAAGCAGCGCGTTTCGAAAAGAAGCTCAGTTTCGAAAATTTCGTCGATCAGAGCCGACGTTTTCGTGTTCCAGCGTTCCCATACTACTCGAATTCCGTAAGAATTGCTCGTTTGCAATAAATATTCGCTCACCTTTGGACGAAAATGATCGTGCTGTGACGAGAACTGGAATCAGTATTAATATACACGTTGATGAGAGCGTTTTTAACTGTTGATGAACATAGTGGCTGTAAGTGAAGCGAACATTGTACAATAAGTAAGTTGAGAATAGGTTGGTTATAGCAGATAGTTTGTTGAGAATTTATTATTGCATTACGATGCAAACTTTTGTAATAATTTACTAGTTGGACTTTTTTTAACAAACATATTGATGAGAGTATTTTGAAAATATTCAATTTTTAATGTAACGATTGTAAGGCAAAGAGATTGAGAATGATTGGATTGATTAAAGCAAGTAGTTTGTTGGAAATATTTCTGCAATATCGCAAATTTCTCCAATGATCTATCACATGTAGTATCAGAAAAGTAATCAGGAAGATTCTACGATTCAAAATAAAATGAAAATCAAGAATAACAAGATGTGTGAACGTTGTGATGAACGCTTCGTTTCCTGAGAGAATTAAGGTTGAAAACTTGTTAACTATACAGAAGTAGGAACACCGTAGATGCAAAATTAATATTCTCGTAGGAATGTAAAAAGGAAATGAAAAATACGTCAGGAATTATTGAAAATTGTTTTGTAGCCACTGTCAGAATGAGCGACATAAAATTGCGAGGATCTTTACTTTCAAGTTGAGTACTTCCACTTCTTATTCTTGGAGCAATCGACGTAGGTAAACAACGACATCACCCCGATCGTTTTCTTCCTAGTGTTCACGTGCTCGACCAAGTCCGGATATTTGCAATCCCAGCGTCACTTCGACGACTGGAAATCTGCGAAAATTGAATCTCGCAAGATTTATACGTCTCCGAGTGACGTGTCTCATGTTTAATTTACGACGCCAAACTCTGACAGCTCTCGCTTGATTGAACTGTTTGAAAACGTCCACGTAATACACATGAATTATTTACAAACGCAACGTTCATAATTTTTCAGTAAACTCGGAATTTCTACGCGGAACAGAGGAACAGAAAGTGGCCATTACTAGAGCTAAATGAACGGACTGAGTATCAACAATGGGGAATACAAATTTCTATAATAGCACTGGGTGCTGGACGTGAGAACAAGTAGTATTCTGAAGAATGGAACACAGTCTTGGAAAGTGTTTTGTTCGCTGACAGGAAGCATCCGTAACGTAAGAACGGTATTGCGATGGAACAGGAAGCTGAAACCAAAAGTTGAGGGAGATATCCAAGTGAAAAGGCGTTTGCTACAATTTTAATAGCGAAGCTGAAACGAAACTGTAGAAAACGAGCGGTAACATGGTTGACGAAGCGTATTTAACGTACCGTGAAAATTACAGAGGATATACTAGTGACTGATTTTTATTTAAAAGAATAAAGGAAAATTTTCTATGACAGGTATTGAAACACTTCAACGAGTGTCGTTCTAAGTATTCTTCAATATTCTTCAAGAAAGCTATTGTCTATGGAAATTCGGTGCCTTGTTTAGATAATTTATCGTATTTCTTTTTTTCTATCATTCTCACAGGAAAATATTTTCTGGGTCCATTCTTTATCGTAGAAATTTTGAGGAATGTTTTCATTTAATGATCATTCAATTATTCGAATTCTTGTGTCAAAATCTTTTTGATCAGACGTATCTTAATTACCATAAAAAAATCTTTAATTTAGAATGGAGAAGAATATACTGTTTTTCTTTTTTTTTCTTTTATCAATAATCCACACCTTTAAAATTCAGTGCATCGAACTACAGCTAACAACTTCATTAAAAAAACAAAAAACGCTAGAAGCCTAAATAAACGAAAAAAATAGGAGAAAGCCATAAAAACGAATAAACGTAGCCAAAGGTTGAGCATCCAACTTTACGTTAAACAAAGCGCAGCGATCGATTAATAAAAGACAGACTAAACAAACTGTTCTAGCCGGCAAGCATGTAACAGACACATGTATATATCTTTCCTATTTTTACGGACTAGCTAAACCGATCCCCAGACGAGTCTCGAGCATGGATGAAACGGGTTCAATGACACTTGGCCGATTTTTACCGATCGTGACCAAGGGGGCTCACGGCTGGCCGCGTTGCGTTTTCCATTTCACGGTGTTGGATTCACACAGTCGTAGATGTTCACGTCGTGAGGGCAACCTCTCGTAAATGACCGTCTCGTTCTCGTAAAACCGGGCGGTCGCGGCCGGCCGTAGTAAACACGTGGCACGTGCATGTGCCTCGAAACCATCTGCCCTCACCGCGCATGATCCAACAACGCATCGTTGTTTATTTCGCCGGTGCCAAAAATAATAGACACGCGCGCGAATAATGGTTGCAATTAATCCGGCGTGATATTCACTGGAAAAAATCGTATAGCCATCCGAGCGGCAATAGACGATCTAACAAACAGGCGAGCCGATTACGAGCCAGCAATGGTTGCACTCGTCGGTGAGTGAACAAAACTCTTGGTAACATCGTAATAAAATCTGCTCGTAATTCTATCTTCCAGCGAATTGCGAGGTATAATAATCAACGATAGGAACTAATTACAACAGACTAACTAATTACAAGAGACTAACAGTTCGCAATTGTGCGTAGATGTTAAATACTCTCAAATAACATTTTAATATTACAGGAATGTTACAGGAAAATTCAATGCCCACGTCGTAGAAAATGTCTGCCCGCACGACGTCCACGCAACTAACCTCGAATCAATTTTCTACACGTTGCAATTACATTTTCGAATGTTATCGCGGGACAAGTGTCAGACAAAGTTCTTCTAGACTTTTCTGAAATTGCCCGTCGTTGTTGGAGATAGTCTCACGGTGAAGTAGAAGGACGATGATGTAACAGAGGTGGCGAGAAAGAGCACCGGCATGAAAACGCACGTTCACTCACCTTAACCAGAGACGTGACCACAGGGCTGTCCAGGAGGCCCTTGAGGAACAGGAGGTCCGTGTCGTCGGCCACCTTGCCCAGCTCGTCCAGGTTGTCGCGTACGTGCATGAAGGCGGCTGGAACAGTGACCAGGCACTTTTCCATAACACCGTGCTAGTTGGACGTGCGCGAAGGGCAACGACACTACCGGCACGAGCGTCGAGGGTGTAAAAGAGCGATGCGAGGGGATGCCGGGTGTGGCCATTCGGCGGATCAATATTGGGGCAGCCACAGGTGGCTAGTGCCGGAGCACGAAACATTTCGGTGAAAAGATCGAAAAGCGGGAAGTCGAATGAGCGTTGATGCGAAAGGAGCAGGATTCACGCAGCGGTAAGGTTTTTAAGTAGTTGCTTTCTTAGTCTGCGGATGTTCGTGCGTTTGTAGGACATCTATGATATTATGTGCAAAGGATATACGGTACTGTGGTACTTTAATAAGCATAATTAGTAATAAAAAATAATTTGAATAATGATAAGCAAGAATTTTTCGAGAAATGCGTTTACGTCAGAAGTGCCGATAATAAAATAGACAAATAAATAAATTGTTAAAAATAAAAGTTTCAGGCAGAAGAGAATTTATAAAATATAAAAATGTAAATTTTCCTGTTAGATGAATGGATAATTTATTCATCAATATTAAAAAAATTTCTCGACATTTGTAGCAAATATTGTAGCAAAGCTGGATATTATTCAATGAATAATGCTCGAATATAAAAATGAATTTTTAACTAAATGTTCTAAAATAACTCGTTTCGATGAAACTTTTGTTGTACAGATTCTCCAAATATCTGTTTCATGAGAACAGTATTTGTAAAAGTATTTCTAAGTATAATACTTTTTTCCATAAAAGTTCTACAAAAATATATTTTTTTATACGATATAAGTTCGAACAAAACTTTTTTTAAAAACGAAAAGAACCTGCTAATTTCGATCTCTATTTGATATTTTCAATATTTCAAAGTGTAGGCTAGATAATTGCATTTAAATATTCTATTCTTTGGATGATGAAATGAATTACAATATTTATTCTGATATTTAGACAATGAAATAAAGATTTAGTTTAGTATTTTTTTTTTAAATTTATATAAACGTCTGTCGTTTAATTATTTTACAATGATTTTACAAAACGTTAGTTTTGTGAAATCATAGTAAATTGAAGAAAAATATGCATTACATGTATGATTTCTCGTAGTTTTATGAAGTATATTTTTATTTATTTATGAAAAATAATTATCTATGGTCTTAAAGTATTACACATGGAACATTGCTACTTCTGACAATGTAATTTAACTTATTGTTAGATATTTTAACAGTTCGATATTGAATGTGAACCTATTTTTATTTCGTTTCACAGTATAATAATATTAGTACATGTTTCACACAAGTTATGAAATCAAAATGTTTTGATTTATTTTCTTCGCTCGCCACTGTATATTAGTGCAACTTGCGTGCATGCAGAAAGAAAAATAAATAATAAATGTTACAGCTGAAGAAACTGTTCCTTTTGCAAATATTAGTTTAATCGAGATCGAAATAGTAATAAAATTCTGGGGATATAAAGGAACATTTTCTTCAAGATTTTATTAAGCATTTTCTTTATAAATATTAGATAAATTTAGATATTATTTATATTAATGATGGTCTTATTTCTGCAAGAGGCTAATTAATCAGAATTTAAGACTCAGGTACTCGATCGATTTTCAATTTCAAGCAATACGATATTCATAATCAATCTGAAGTAAAATATACTTCGTGTTATAGTAATTTGGAGCAAGCTCAAGGACCAAAGAATCATCCTGCTGTTAACAACAGCTATAGTGTCAATTAACATTGAATTCATTTGCAAGTGCCTGGACTAATTAGAGTCATAAACAGATTTCGTTTTACCTTTTCACTCTCGTTCGGCCTTACTTCATTGAACAATTCTCAACACGAGACAACGTTTAGGATAATTATGAATGAGACAGGTACGACCTTGTTCGTGTTTCAAACATAGAACAAAAAAAAAAAAAAAAAACAAACGGTTCTATTGTTTATTTGTTACGTAAATTAACCAATTATTCCATTACTTTTAAAGTCTATCGATATTGTATTTATTTAAAAATTCATAATTTAACTTTTACAGTACATCCTTGAAGAATCTATAAAATATTTCTTTAGCGAACGAATTATTTTTAACGTGACATATAGAAATAGAAGTGTCTTCGGAGGCACTGGAATCAGATTGGATTCCGTTTCAAATGGAAATTGACATGAATCACCTGAGACGATATTTTCGACGTATAAAACACGAGGAAGGTATTTTTAAACGCAAAGTGTTTCATCTATAATTATCGTATCTGCTTTACGATAATTTTATCTGAAGGGGTAGTTTGTCGAACCGGTTCTGTCTATATGTTTGTGACATTTAATTATCGAAGACGAGACGTTCTCCAAGTTCGAGTGGTTTTGATAAACAGTAACTGACCACTCGAACATAGGACGATAAGCGACGTCGACGACGGGACGGTTTGTATGATAAATGCGTGCAAGTAGCAACGAGTGCATAGACACGCCATCGCGTATCGTCTTTCCAGAACGCCTCGACCTATTTCTCGTCTAGTTTACAGCCGAAAAAAGTTCTTAAACCAGTCTGTTCGTACATGTACGGCAGAAGGAAGATCTCGAACATTAATATGAGATCATGGAAATAGGATTGTAATTCACATCTGACAAGTAAAATTATAATTATACCAAATCTGTCTTAAATTTCTTTCTCTTGCAGAATGTTGGGTTTTATATGTTGATGTAGAAAATATTTTATTCAAGAGTTTTCAATCAATTTCACACGCGAGATACAAAGAAATGAAGGTTTGAGTTAAAGTTAGAAGTTTGGTCAAGCTCGTTCCTACTTTTGGAATTCTTTTCTGTTTAAAATTATCTCGAGACTTTAATTGATCTTACGTAAGAAATAAAAATAGAGGCAAGGCTATGACGAGACTGCAAAGATATTTCGATTTAAGACTGGATTCCGAAGATTAGAATGCAGAGGAATAATATTTAGGTACAATCGGGCAAGGAATTCGTTTGCGAAGCGGGAAGTACTCCAGTACAACTCGAGAAAAACTAAAAAACATAATTTCATAAAGAAGACATTATGAAATTCCTCGAATTTCAATAGAAAACTAAAATTCATCGTGTCATTACCATTTTCTATTTGATATAGTTTGGCGCCGTTCACGGCGTCGATGCTGGCCAACAATCGGCGATCTTCTATCTTTTCCTTTCTCCCGAAGAAAACCATTACGACCGTTTCCTTTTCAACGTGTCGCGGATGCAAACTCTCGCACGAAGACTCTTCAATACATCGACGAATCACATTTTCACTTCTCTCACATTTTACATTCTCATCGTCGTACGACTGTGTCGCGTATCACGATTAAACACCACAAGCAAGCGCGACTGTTCTCTAGCATTCCACCACTGTCAGACAATAAAACAAGAAGGCTCTATTCGTTGAATGCTGTTCTACGATAATATTTACCGAAGAGCGAACAGTGTCAATTATCAGTACCCAATTATCACGGATTGACAGGTTCCGCTGTCAATAATCACTTTTGTTCTTCGTAACAAAACCGCGTGTATGCATTTTTTGACACAGTTGCTGATCTTTCAGAAATCGTCTACGTCTCTTGCGGTAGCCGAGCCAGTGTTTGTCAAGGCAGAGCAAACAAAAGGATTTCCTTCGAAGACGTAAGAAACGTGCACACTGGTCCGTTCCACGGCACCACGTCACAGTGAATGGAAACGCCGTGTTACACCTGCTTGGGGCCTCGGGCCCCTGTCTTGGCCAAGGGACTGAAAGCGACACCCCGTGGAGGTGATGGGATCCAACAAAGTCAAACGAACGTACGAGCCGTGTTTCCCCTTTCAAGCCTTAGGAATTAATCGAGCGATGCTCTTTAAGAACAGTCCGATTACTTTGGAAAAAGTACTCTTGATGTGAAGCCTGTTTCATATTATTTCAAGTATTTTTTAATGATAGCTAGATCGTGAGATTCTTTTTCTTTTGTCTTTTTTTTTCTTAATTTTCTTGATTCGAGATTTTTCTGTTTTATTAAACTTTTTGGAAGACGATGTTAGGTTGGAATTATTTAATAAGGTAGTGATAAAAGGTGATTTATTTAAAAATTAAACGGACGTCGATTATATGGGAGAAAGTGGTTTTTCTTACGTCATTTTAATCATGTAATATCCAGTTGATGCTTTCGAATATTTCTTAATGTCATGTTCAATTATGTAGATGTGAAATTCTTTGCTTTTTTTCCCCTAAAATTGTGTTTTTATTAAAAATTTTATTAGAGTTCCTTCTATTAAAATCTCTTTTCATTTACTAAACTTTATAAATGTTGACGATAAAATTTATTTAGATAAAGGATTGCAAGATTTAGGATAGTGTTTTGTTTAAAAACTAGAAAAATAATTGGCCCTGGGTTTAAAGACTTTATTGCTTTTCACCGGTCGAGGAAAAAATTGATTTCTGCGAGATTACTTAATTAAGCTTTGATGACATCATCGTAGCATCCACATGATCACACCTTGACCATTTTCCAGTTTGTTAATTTTACTTGTCTCCTCGTCAGACGTTTTCAAACTTGCGTCGAAATCTGGAAGATGTTAGTATGCAATCATGAACGTCTGTTCTACCTATAACTGATTATCTCTTACGTCACGAATTTCCCAAACCGTTTGTCTATCCTCACTCCAATTTCAACCAGTTCTCAGCAAATTTCAAGTTTAATCGAAGCTTCACCTGTTCAATCTCATTCACTGGACCCCTTCACTCGTGGATCGAATCTCACGGCTCCATAGATTTTCGCTTGCTTCATTATTGATCGATGATGCGATGCCGATCGATCTAAAACTATCCGCGGCGAAACGCTTTAAAAACAGAGCGCGAAACGTACGCGTGTATGATGTTCGAGGATCAGCATCGAGGCGTGATGTTATCGTTGCCGAGGAACGATTGTAACTGACGTTTCCGAGGATTTCGTCGGTGAACAAACGGATGAAAAGGAGTGGAGAGCTATTCTTATTTTTCCAGGCAAAGCAAAGAGAGGGAACGCGAGAAAGAGAGAAGTGCGCGAGGGAAGAATAAGCACCACTGGCTAGTTGGTCCCCGAAGAAGAGAAATCGTTCTATAATAAATGAAAGAAAAAACGAAAATGACACTTTAACCAAATGACTTTGAGACTTTAAGACTTTGACAAGTCGTATTTATAACTTTCGTTTGATTTGTGTCTCGCTTTAAGTGGTTTCATTGCACAATTCTTCATATTATTCATCCGTTTCTTTCGTTGTTTAGTTCGTGCTATTTTTGGTTCGATGCATTTTTCATAAACGAAGAGTCGACTCTGTCGAGAAGTATAACTTTACTTCGAGTGCAGCCACTTTATTGCAAATGGAAACAATTTTTGAGATATTTAAAATTTTCTTTCTGCTGGTGTTCACTAGAGGAATTTTATGCAAATTCGTGTTTAAAAAAATATTAAACCTCGGTGGAAAGTGTACTAAATGTTATACTTTGTATATATTTTTTCACAATACGTGCAATTTTAAAAATCTCCTATAAACGCATGAAAATCCTCAGATAATTAATTATATTCATTTTTCTTTTAGGTAAGGTATCTCTTACGGATCAATACTTAGTTCATTTGTAATTTTTGTTTAATCATTTTACATTGTTGAATCAAATTTGAATGACACTCTAAGAATTCATTAAATATCTGTCTCACCATTAGACTACGAATTTTTAATTTTAAAGTTAAAAAAGACATATGAAATATCGAAAGTGCTTTCTACAATATTTCGCAAGGTTAAAATAGTTTTCTATAGTGATACTATTTTTTAAATTATATTTTCAGGAATACAAATTTGCATAAAAATCCGCATTCGCCACTGTTTTCTTAATCAGAGTGTACGACTGCATGAAATTGAAAGAAATTCAAATATTTTTAACACTATGACTTGAAATAAACTATTGCTTGATGAATTAAACCATTTTATCGTGAACAGATGTTCAACATAGTTCATCGATCGTGGGAAACGTTTTTTCTGTCTCATGCTAACATGCAGGCTAGACGATAAATTGGTCTTCAACAGCACTTTCGTGAATCTAAAACTGCCTTCAGTCAGGATGATCGTAAATTTAGACGAAAACCAGCCAACTGTTCTGTCGAAATTAAAGAACGGAAGAGTGAATCTGACATCGTTCAGCTCGTTGTCTAAGATCTATAAAGATTTTTAATAAAAGTTTTACGGAGCAGTTCAAGGCATGTCGTACTTGAAACAAAAGTTAAATATAAAACTCTAGGAAAGCAGATAAAAAGAGTTGCTCCTAAGAGATGAAAGTAGTAATATAATACAGGGACGTCATTCGTCGAAGATAAAGAAACTTCCAAGAAAACTTGAGAGAAGAGGAAAGGCTCTTAAATTAGAAAAAAAAAAAAAAAAAATACAGAACGAAAAAAAATTGAAATTTCAAAATTATTTTCTGTAAAGATTGCAATACTGGAAGAAAGTATCTCGTCGTGATAGTGATCGTTAAAGTAATAGTATTCATTCAAGGTCTTTGGATATATAATTGTTTTTGTTATGGGCTCTATCGATCGTCCGAGTTTTACTTTCGAGAGCACGTGTATTAATATCGATTGTCTCGTATAATTTTTCTACGACGTAGTGACTAACTGTGTTGCAATAATGTGAAATATGCTCGAAATCGAAATTTTGTTAAAGATTGATACAATAAAAAATGTCACAAAACGCCAAGATGAAAGAAGAATTAATTTGTCACTTGGATTTTCAGTATTTTAACATTTGAAGAACACTTATAATTAATTTGTCTTTCAATTCTTAACAATACTATTGATAATTTTATAATTACGGAATTAAAGATTAATAAAGATCAATTGAGAAAGTGATTTCAATTAAATCGATTTGAAATTATTCTGGAAACTTTTCAAATGATCTGATCAAAATTCTTTTTAAATCACGAATATCAAGGTGTTTTCGAAAAATCAGACAGATGAAAAGCTTCGTGTAAAAGTTGTTCGTGAATTTGTTTCGAAACTTGGTCATTGCGATAATGCAATCCTAAATCTCTTGTTGTGACAGATGTCTGAACCGCGACGCGAAAAACTGGAACGTAAGCCAGCATCGGTGGTGCTTCCGCTGAAATCACGTTAAATTTAACAGGATCACAGACACTTCGCGCCAGGGAGGAAAGAATCTTCGAGGAATAGTAAACGAAAGTTAAGCGAAAAGTTCGTGGAAGCTAGGATAAAACGGTCCAATCAATATCCTCCATCTGTATAAATCAAGATTTAGGGAACTGTCACGAGTTCAAAGTGTCGAACAGAATCCATCGAAAGTTTCTAGAAGATTTGGCAAAATGACACTGCAGAAAATCCAACGAAAGTCGAACAGAAATAGAAATTTTCGAGACTATGAATCTTGAATTTTTCCATATAAATTCAAATTCAATTTTCTTTGTGTAATTTGGACCATTAAATTCAGACGTAGATATGAATCCTCAGGCGCGAATTCAAATTTTTATATTCAGGCACAAATTTTCAGAGTTCAAGTTCAAATGAAATTGGGATCTTTCGACGTAAATTGAAGTTGAACTTGAACTTCAGTATGAAAAAAAATCTGTACTCGAAAGATACTGTGATTCGTTAGATAGAAATTTCGTTTCCTCAAGTTTTGCGATACAGATAATCAAATTCAATCTTCTTTATGTAATTCAAATCATTAAATTCAAACGTGGATTTAAATTCTCCTGTGAAAATTTAAATTCAAATCTTGCCATTCAAGTTCAAGTTCAAACTCTAAAATTGCAACGTTCGCTTCTTTTTTTAGAGCTTTCTGAATTTTTCAAATGCGAACTAAAAATCTTCAAGCTGAGATCGTGCATTTAAAATTTTCAGAGAGTCGAACGTGAATTGCAAGTTGGGGGTGAAGCGAACCCGGCTCGCACGGTCAATAAAACGTAGTTCAACTCCATTCAATCTCCATTCAGTCACGGACAGTTTAACCTAGACTCTGTTCTACGCTCGAATAACACCCATCTAAACTCACCGGAAGTGGATCTCAGATGCGGCAGTTCCTTCTTGGGAATGATCGAGGGCAGTTTCGAACATCCGCAAATGTCCTCGATATCCATCATTGACCTGCTGTTCTTCATCTTGGTGGAACGTGGGATTTCAGGTGACGCCAATCGACATCACGATCAGCATGGATCCCAGCCTCGTGCGTTCCACCGGCAGGGCCGAACTTCCGTTTGCCTGAATCCCCGATCCACCGGCAACCTTGTCATATTCTTTCTCTTTGTCTCTCTCGAATGTTTTCGCGCGCCGTCCACGTCCCCCGTCAATCGATCCACGTTCGACGCGAAATCAAAATGGCAGTCGAAAGATCACGAGATCTATTCATAGATCATCGGCGATGGTCCGTGTGGTCGCGGTGGCTTGTTGAAGAGAACGAAGGAACGAGGAAGACCGCAACGGGACCTATAAGCCCGCTCTCGGTTCGTGTCCAGTACTTATAGCATAGTCGCGAGGGGGGTGGGTTTTTGCACCCTCTCTCTCTCTCTCTTTCTCTGTCTCTCTTTGTCTCACGCGTTCTGCTTAGACGATTTTGCGACTCGTGGCAACGAGTGCCGCGTGCGTTCGAATCGATCGATAGTAAACGCGCCCACGAAAGGGTAGAAATATTCTGGATTACGGCATCATAGAAGTGGAACGCCTTGACGATCGACTCGATAGAGAGAAAGATGGATATTTTCTTTTTTTCTTTTTTTAAACTTGGAGAAATTACGCTCGAGTCGTTTGTTAGCGGGACAATTTGGTTTGGATCTTTTGTCAGAATGTCTGTGGGTGAGTTAAAAGATAGTGGAGAAATTTTGGTTGGCTCTTCGATCAACAGAGAACCCTTTATCAGAATATTTCTCGATAGATCGATGATGGAGATTTTTTTTTTTGTTTTGAATCGCGGAGAAACTGTGCTTGGATCTTTTATTAACGAGAAAATTAGATTTCAGTCTTTTGATTAGAGTTTATCGTTCGATTGATTTGAAATTTTTCTGTGAACGTTCGTACATTTCAATTTTTTTCACGATGAATAAATTATAATTAGGAATTACACGTGAATTAGTCAGAAACCACGTATAAATTGAATATAATTTAATAATATAATTTTTATAGTATAATAATATAATAATAATTATAATAATTATAATTATAATTATAATATAATAATTATTTTATAATATAATTCTTATTTGTAAATTATATATGTTATCTATTATACATTAATATAATTTTTATTTGTAAATTATATATGTTATCTATTATGCATTAATATAATGGCGATATCTTATAAATCTCTAAACAGTCCAATACACTGAAATTTAACATATATTTCTACAGTAGCGTATATCGCTAAATGTGAATGATGAAAACAATTAAAGAAAGATAATACGTTTTATTAAATTTCGCATGCAACGTGACGAAAGTTGAATCGCATTTAAATTTTGTATCGATCAATGGAGTCGTTTTATCCGATTGCGATGAAGCTATGGCCATCTTGTGAGATTTGTTTCGAACTCGATTCAGGCCTAATTAAACGAATGAAGTTTTAGTTCAATAAAGTACTCCTTATCGTAAGAATAAATTAATTTATGAATAAAATGTCTTATCTGTAAAAAAATTTATGCAGAAGAGGCTTTTTATTATATTTCAAAAATATATATTACGTTCGATCGCTGGTAACTTTTTACGGTTTCTAGTGAATTTTATACTAGAGACATCTAGTGAGAGCTGTGGAAAATTCAAATGCCAAAAGATACTATAGCCACAGACGAGTTACTAATGGATAATGTTATTACGTCCTTCGTTATCAACGAGAGGTGACGTTGCTGATTTGAAAAACAAGATTTCATTACGTTATGTTAATTTTTGCGAGATGTTACAGTTTTATCTGTCTTGCTCCCAGTATTACAACATTCTCGACAATTTACACGTAAGATTAAATTCCCTCCTTTTGAATCAGATTTATCGTAAATTTTTACAATATTCTAGTAGTTTTTTATTGTAATCCTAACTCTCGCTGATTTTATATCAATTCCTAAATTGGAATTCTTCCTAATTTCAAAATATTATAAATATTTCAAATGTTAAATATTAAATATTATAAAAATTTTATATTATTAAAATATTAAATATTATAAAATTTATGATACGATACAAATTTTACAGTTGTGAAAAAGTTAAACGAGGAATCTTATGTTTTACAGATTTACACAAAATAATTGCCAATACGTAATTGTTTCTTTTCGAAAGAATTTAGTTTAATTAAACTTCATACGTTAGAAGATTTAGTTAATCTTCGTGTGTTTGATATATATTTCAGAATTTAGTTAATCTACATATGTTAGAAATGTCTGTCAGCCAGATGTTATCATGGTGCTGCTCGAAATACCGGAACAATGGGCATTCAGCGAAGATTGGCTGATTAGGTTCGTCGAGGACGACGATATAAGCGGCTTGTTTCCGGTTCTCTTCCGAGTCACGTCGCGTCGTGTCAAACGAAAGATGCGTCCGTACTTGATGGTTTTACCTAGCAGTTCGCACCTCGACTTTTGCTCAACAAAACATTGCTTCGCGTGGCATTGACCTAACGAGTTATCGTTTGCGTTCGCGAATCATTAACGTACAGATACAGAACATTATCTTGGCTCGAATAAATAAACACGTACACGTATTATCTGTTTCGTAGATAATATTGTCAATTTGCTTACCAAGCATGTATGCGGAAGTTGAATAATGTGCAACGAAGATCGTTTCCTTCGGTTGTCAGTCAGTGGCAGTGTCATACAACTTGCGAAGACTGTACGATACTTCGTCTTGTTGGAAAGTTTCTCATTCAGGTTTAATGGATTCTACCGTATGAATATTTATGTGTTATTAATATTTAGTTCTTAGAACATATTATCAATTTAAATTTCACAAGCAGCGAATATCCAGTTTCTTTTTCTGTAAGTCATTCTTTCATAGAAGATTAATTCTTTCCTTTTCCTTTTTTTTTAATTTTCATTGCTGAAATCATATGGCAGATTTCACTGGGTTAGTGAAATTTCAATTTTAAATTGTTGTGAATGTTAATACTCTATCTCACTATTTCTACATCTATAACTACGAACATGTCTTATTTATTAGATTCTTTTTATAGAAGTCTGTCAACAGTAAAGAATTGAATTTATTATCTCATAAAGTTCATTTTAATTTCACTTCATCTGAATAAATTATTCAGATTTATATTTTTAATACAAGATCACCTTGTTTGTAATGTACATTATTATATACACAGAGCTCAAGAAACATGAAATAACTTTTTAACAAAGCTCTAAAAAAAAAAAAGAAGAAGAAATGGCGATGCTTTATACAAATAAATTTTAGTAAAAAATTGATCTGTTTGAAATTATCATAGAATCAGTCATATTGACCTAATAATAATAATGGTACAGTATCCTGCGTTCTCCACATAAAATAGAAGTAATTTTCTATACAGCAATTGAAAGATTGACGGAACAAAAGTGGTTCGCCGTTCGAGGCAAGGGATATGACACGAATCATGTTCCATCATGCTCGTTGGAAGCTTCCTCTTCCTGTGAAACGGGCACAAATAACAAATCGAACTTCTTCCTCATGCCCACGTCAGCTAGTCTAAATTATTTCTTCCACTGTGTCTGGTTTGTATTTTGGAGCACGCTCAGGATTAAGGTAATAAGAACGAAGATCATGTCTCTGTAGATTAGAGACATCTATCCGCGCGACTCATTTTCATTGACGTACGTGAATTCAGACTGATGAAATGTCTGATGAACAATGGAAACTTGATAATTTATAATAAATAAACGATCACGAAACTTGACGATAAAATTCATTTCATTTCGAATTAGATCGAATTAGAAGTTGGAGATTATTAAATGGAAATGGAGTGAAGTGACGCGATAAACTATGAAAAAGTTCGTACTTTGGATTCGTTATGTAAGATTCTTTTAATCCAGGTGATTATAAACATACTACGGGTGTTACGTAAAAATACATAAGATATCCTTCTTAGATTCCAATCTTTTTTAAATTGTCTTTGTGAAAACGTGAATTGGCAGAACTTAAAACACTCAAATTTATCTCACTTCTTTCACAAAAATCGAGTTTCAAAGTGTATAAAAACATTTCTCTTGGATATTTTCAAAAATTATCTTCGTGGAAATATGAATTGGCACAAGCTTTTCCAAAAATTCAATCAGTTTACAAAGCGGCGACGCATTTTTGGTCGGCGATGGATTTTTAGCTGACGATTCGATAGATTTTTAGAGAGGACAGGCGAGCGGTTAGCGGCGATTACGCACGGCGCGTGACCAATTCGCAGAATAATTTTAGCGACGTGCAATTTTATCGGTCGAGTATGTGTCTTCTCTCTTGGCCCGGTTCGCCGTTGGTTGTTTTGCGCGTCGTCGAATCAACGGGCGTCCTTGTCGCGGCGCGTTGCAACACAACGCTGTGACCGCGGCGAAGCGTTGTCGTTCGATAACCACGATTTACACCGGCGGAATTTCGCCAAGCTTTACAAAGTTATTGACAGCGTTGGCCCGTGAATCAGGATTATTAGTGACAGCGAGCGACGCGGCAAAAGAACGTCAAGTGTCCGCCGCGTAAAGAGCCATTCAAAATTTCGGTCGATATTAATCCGTTTCGATTTCCTTTCGTTTTCAATCTCTCTCTTCCTTTTTCGCTAGTTCGAATTTGTATTTTATAGTCTCGGTCGGTTTTTTCGACGATTCTACGGATGGTTAGATTATTGTCTCTGATCGAATTCCACGATATTTCATCACATGATAAATTTAATGTCTGTGCGAAGATAACGAAGAGATAAATGGGGAGATAAGTTGCTATCGATGATACAACGATGAGCATTCGGATAATAACGATTGAATTCAAATTGAAGTTTAAACGACGATTACATATGTATAGGACTCTAATTGCATGGAATTATTTTTCCGTAAATTATGTTGTTTTCCGTAAAGCGTTGATAGCTTCATCGAATGACGAATCCCTTTTTTCCGCTGCACTGCGGGGGGGTTACAATTTGAGTTTGTTCTAAAATCTTCTAAGGATGATTTATCAGCATGAAGAAATTTATTGTCTTATTTTGGATAACGGCTAGAAATCCCAACGTCCGCCACGTGCTCACTTGTTGTTACCCCCGTTCGCCGACTGGCAGGTGTATTATGTTTAGTGCCACCTAGACGGTTGACAATGATCGTTCAAACGATATTTTAACTACAGTACTTTGGTTCAGGACGGTCAAATGGCTTGTACTTCAAACTCCACAATTCGCCAGCCAACGTGTTATAAAATAAGCCCACTGTCAGTGAGGAATGTAACAGTAGAACGTTACAATAAAATATCACACAGTAGAACGTGATAGTGAATTATCACCGTGTGATATCTGTAATTGTACAGTCCACTACCTCACGATCGCCGATCTCATCGGAATCGCTTCAAGAATCTGCAAAACTAAGTCTGATAAATAAATAAATCGTGAGATTCTGTTTTAACTTTCAACTAAATTAAACTAAACTGCTTTGGGATCTCAACGCAGACACGACGACGCGTCACTGCCAATTTTTAAAATAACGCAAACTAATTTGTAATTTTTCAGTTTGAAGTTTAAGCGTAATCGATAATTGACGAACATGTCGAAATCGATTTCTAAAAGTCAGCATGCAACGATAGATACAATATTTATAGTTTTATCAAACGTTGGCAATCTTCGCATCTTTCCATTCTAGTTCATCTCTGAATAACGAAATAAAAATAAAAATAAACAAATGAACGTCGATGCAAGCAGTTGACAGTGAAACGCATCGTTGCCACGTTATCTTCAAAAAGATAATTCCAACTTTTTAATTTAAATGTCGCAAGATGTGTCGCTTCAGCTCGTTCTTACATTTTCCCTTGACTATCGTCCACTATAATCCATCACCACCTTCACGTACTTTTATAATACATATATATACATTATTTTTCTTTGAAAAATAAATATTCACTACGTTCTCTACAGATTTAACAAATTCGAAATCTTTAGAGAGGTTGATATCTAAAGTACAAATATTTTTTTTTTTTTCGATTCAACTCGATCAATCTTTTCTCCATCCATCATCTTCTATACTTCACCTTCACCTATTTCCTCCATTCATCAGATTCTGCAATGTACACGAAGAACTCGACTGAATATTCGCGTGTAAAGACAAAGAGAATGTTCCCTTATCGGTTGATTGCCGCGATAGGGGAATTCACAAAGTTAGAAAGAAGGAAAGGCCAAGATACTGGAAATACCCTGTGTGCTGATCACCGGAGGTGGGAGTGATCGCCGCCTCCGGCACGTCGGAAAACTACGTGATGGATCAGTCTGTGTTCGACGCACCCGTGACATCCATCGAGCCGCGTCGATCTCTCGATCGACGTTAAAAAAGGAACCACGCAGCAAGGAAATCGTCATCGACAGACACTGCCACGTGTTCGCTATGCCGTACAACCGGGTAGGTTATGGGAGAGAGCGAGTATCTAAGTAATTCGAGATACTTCGATTTGCTACGAATTTGTATATTATACAGCGATAAATTCGAATCGCTTCGAATTTGCAATACATAGCGATAAATTCGAATAGCTTCGAATTTCTATGCATAGTCATAGAATTGTTTTGAATTTGTATAATATACAGCAATAAATTTTAATCGCTTTGAATTTATGTAACGATAAATTCGAATAGCTTCGAATTTCTATGCATAGTCATAGAATTGTTTTGAATTTGTATAATATACAGCAATAAATTTTAATCGCTTTGAATTTATGTAACGATAAATTCGAATAGCTTCGAATTTCTATGCATAGTCATAGAATTGTTTTGAATTTGTATAATATACAGCAATAAATTTTAATCGCTTTGAATTTGTGTAATATGTGGCGATAAATTCGAATAGCTTCGAATTTCTATGCATAGTCATAAATTCGAATCGCTTTGAATTTGTGTAATATATAGCCATAAATTTGAATAGCTTTGGATTTGTATATTACACAGCGATAAATTCGAATAGCTTTGAATTTCTATGCATAGTCATAAATTTGAATTGTTTTGAATTTGTATAACACACAGCGATAAATTTGAATCGCTTTGAATTTGCACAATTTATAGCGATAAATTCGAATAGCTTCGAATTTCTATGCATAGTCATAAATTCGAATCGCTTTGAATTTGTGTAATATATAGCTATAAATTTGAATAGCTTTGGATTTCTATATTACAGAGCGATAAATTCGAATAGCTTTGAATTTCTATGCATAGTCATAAATTTGAATTGTTTTGAATTTGTATAACACATAGCGATAAATTTGAATCGCTTTGAATTTGCATAATATATAGCGATAAATTCGAATAGCTTCGAATTTCTATGCATAGTCATAAATTCGAATCGCTTTGAATTTGTGTAATATATAGTCATAAATTTGAATAGCTTTGGATTTGTATATTACACAGCGATAAATTCGAATCGCTTCGAACTTGTATACATAACGACAAATTCGAATCGCTTTGAATTTGTGTACATAGCGATAAATTCGAATCGTTTTGAATTTGTATAATATATGACTATAAATTCGAATAGCTTCGAATTTGTATATATAGCAATGAATTCGAATTGTTTTTCGAATATGATTCGGTAAATTGAAATTTTTGAAGAGCTTGGATCTATTGAAAATCTTGAGATAGAATTTGATAATTGATAAGCAGAATTTTTATGTATTCGTGAGAAATTTGAGAATGCAAACACACATAAATAGCACTGGATGTGTAAAAACATATGAAATATCTAAAATATAACACTTGTTACTGATATTTAATAGGTAAAACAATCTTTTTTATTTGGATTCCAGATATTTTAATTTTGTTCGTAAATATATAAATTCGCATGAATATTAGCAGTCTAGCGATGACTATTCGATAACTCGAAATTTCTGTATTTTCTTTAATATTTATATTTTGTGATCTTAAAAAAAAAATTAGATGAAAATAGTAAAAAATTAGATACAATTTAGATTAAACACACGTTATCAAACTCTATCGTAAGTCTCAAGACTTTCAAGTAAGATTCAAGACGATCTTTCAAGATTTTTCAAAACTTTTAAGTCAATCAAAATTTTTAAGAGACTTACCTAGAAACAAGAGTTTTAAGCTGTAGATTTTTTAGAACTTTTACTTTCCTTATTTACAAATTTGAGGCAATTTGAAATATCTCAGATTCCATCATTTGGAACAAATTTTATTCTTTGTCTCGTTCAAGACCATCATTTAGTTATTATGATCGTACTATCCGTTGGGATAAAGATCACGATCACTGTCGTGATATTGCCAATGAAATTCACTGATTTTTGCCTCGTTATTTACTTTTTATTTCTTGAAACTAATCAGTCTCGTTGAATAATAAGTCAGTTGAATAATAAATCTCATTATGTTGCTCTTTTTTACACGATACGAATGTCACGTGAATGTTGATAACATTATACGATCATCATATGATGTCATGTTTTTTTTTTTTTTTTTTTACCATATTGGTGTCATGTGAGTACGGATATCCGTAATAAATGACGGAACATTAGTTCTTATCGAGACAGTAATTAGTAACTGTAGATAGTGTTTTGTTTTTCTTTGTATTTGTTGCTACTGAAATATAATGAAATATTACTATTATTGTATAACTTTAAACTTGAAAATTTAGCAAAACATTCTAAAATTACAAAAGATTCGTAAGTTGTTAATTTTTAAACAGTATTATTTAGTAAATTACATATTCGGAATAAGGATGTTTAATTAATATTTAATTAATCTTTCTAAATCATGAACAATCATCGTTGATTCGAAGATTGAATTGTTTTTAATTTAATTTCAAATTAAATGATTGACATTAGATTAGTCATTCAGTTTATTCGATAAACTATATCACAAATAATTTCTGCCGTAGAAATGATAATCTATGTATATTCAGGTGAACTCTTCGCATAACCGGTTTTACAGCAAGCACACGCAATGCAATAAGAAAAAAAAAAAGAACAATCTTAAAAGCAAAATACTCTGAAGATAATTGCTGATACCGTAGTTGTCCGACGATCCTCGAATTCTGTTTCCAAAGGATCGATTCAAAAACTTTTCCTTCGAGTTGTTTTCATTGCAACGATGAAGAATCTGTCTGTCATCGATGCGCCAGTGTCGAGCGAAATCTTGCGGAAAAAGCAGTTGGAAAATATATAACGTATATATAACTGCGAGAATAAGAAAAATACGTGTTCATAAATCAAAAATTCATTTTTATCACTTTTGTTGGAAGATTAACGATCTCGAGGGAATTATCAACAGCTTTTTAACACCATGTTTGCGATCTGTTTGGAAAATCATAGCGGAGAAACGGAAGTTAACCTGCAAGGTGTACGTCAAGGACGTCAATTGAGTACAAACATTATTAGTCGATTGAGTATGAACATTATTAGTCGGATATCTGCTTAATGAATGATTTTTTTTTATTTCTTTTGTTCGTTATATCTGTTTTTTTAAATACGTCAACTCGGCCAACTTTAATGAAATTTTACGGAGCTGAAACTTCTGGAAACTTTTTTTTTTTTTTTGTTAAATCAACTGTTCCATGATTATTACAAACGGGAAGTTTCATAATTTCAAAGTAGCTATCCTATGTTTATCAAATCGATGTTTATCAAGCAACTCTTCGATAATTTTTGTTTAGGTTTCGTGCACGCAAGAAACATCTCCATTCTGCCATTTTCGATCATATCGTCGACTTTTGGCCTCGAATAGCTACGGCAAAAGTTCTAAAATTTTGAATGCCTTCGCAAAATTTGGAGGTCGTGATATTTTTATTAGGTTAGGTATTCGTAAGCCGTGAGGAGATGGATTTTGGCTCGAGTTTCTTTGTAAAACAATTCAGATTAAATTTAGATTCTAGATACGATTAATATCGGCACGATATCGATAGATAACAGAGATACTATGTAACTATGTAACTGCTCGATGTTTAATTTATAATTATCAGAAATATCTGAGACAAAAAGCAGTTTGTTCTTAACAATTATTTTCAAAGATTCTTCTTTCATACTTTGAATGTTAACTCGTTAGCTGAAGCATCAACTTGTCACTCGCATTACAAATTGTTTTAAATATCATAACTTCTTTATTCACGAACTTGTACAAAACTTTTTAGTTATCTCTGAAAAGGTTCGAGATCGACCTATCTGAGATTTTTTTCATTATTTTTATTAACTTTCAATTTGTATAAAAATTGTTGGCCAAAGACTTGACATATCGTTAACGGAGTAAGTGAAAAATTTAATTTTCATGTTAAAAACGAAAAATAGTAGCTCTCGAACACAACTCTGAAGTCAAATATCCTTTTTTGTATTCTGAATATCAAGTATATTCTACGATCCTCTTTGAATAAGAACTCTATTAATGTTATATCATTCACGAGATACTTTTGGCTCGAGTTTCTTTGTAAAACAATTTAGATTAAATTTAGATTCTAGATACGATTAATATCGACACGATATCGATAGATAACAGAGATACCAACTATGTAACTGCTCAATGTTTGTAATTTATAATTATCAGAAATATCTGAGACAAAAAGCAGTTTGTTCTTAACAATTATTTTCAAAGATTCTTCCTTCATACTTTGAATGTAAACTCGACTGTCTCAGACATAATCCATCCTATCCTAACGTTTCTTAAAAGATTCATAGGCAAACAGAAAGTTACATGTCCTATCCTGATTCAATTTTTCTTCATCTATCGTCCCCCCCCCCCCCCCTTTCCCCTTATCTGTCATTGCTACGTTTTCCTTGTTTTCTCAGTTTCAGTACAACGTAGATCAGTTTTTAATTTAAGAAAGATCATCTGGAATATTTCTAATTCTCACTCCTCGTGTAGCACCGCAATTAAATTTAAAATATATCGTGTCTTTTGGAATTTTGTTCATTTCATTCATCATCACTGAAGAATACTTCTGATAAGCGACGTTACATTACGAGATATCTTATCCATATTGTCACATAAACGACAATCTAATATTATTCTTCAATTCATTGATGACGACGACGAAACAATTAATATTCAATTCTTAAGCCTCTTAGTGCTTTATCTAGAACTACGGAGCATTATCGTAGAAACAGTATAAACCGTATAAAGATCTTGGTAAAACATACTACTTTTTTGAAAAACCATTCGAATAATTGAAACTATTAAAATAAAACAAAATCGCGGAGTCGACGTGTCTTCGATACCAAAAGGACGAAGAAACAAAAATAACTAATTAATAGGTTCATTTATCGCAAGAATATATGCAATAAATATATAACAGTAAATTCTAAACACTATACATTTCGATTTATAAAATTCATCAGTGTCACTTTTAAATTAGTAAGATATCTTCTCCATTTCGAAGACATCTTGCCCACCAAAGGGCCAAGAAATTCAGTTAGAAGTAATTTCGCGAAATCGTCGATGCACCTTCACACATTTTATACAGCCATCTCCTTCCGAGATCGAACACTTCAGATCTTTCTTTCAATATGTCCTATATCGTTCAGTCTTTCCTTTTTTTTTCTTTTTTACCCTGACGAGATATCGCGAACAGAAGCAAAGAAAAAGGGGTGGAATTCCAGACACAAGAATTCTTCTTCTTCTTCTTCTTCGTTTCTCTTCCCCTTACCGCCGCCATTCCTTTTACAGAATCTTTCAACGGGAACGAAATCTTTTCCAGGTACTGCTACAGCTGGTGCTGGTGCTGCATGGATCCCTGATCGTCCTTGTTGCTGGGAAATCCAGTAAGTCTTCCGTTTCTTTGTCCCCGAGAGATAATCGCGCTTCCGTTGAGCCGCTTAGGGACCGGACGTCTCGGGATACAACCGGATACCTCGAGATCGACGGGAACCGGGCTAATGCTCTTCACCGATTTGCGTTATTTGCCTGGAGATAAGTTTAATTGTAGCCCCGGCTTCTTCCTTCTTTCTCACTCGGTTCCGACCAACCGTGATCGATAAGACGATCTCCACGTTGCGGTGTCACTCCCGATTGCTCGTCTAAAGTGCGATAATTCGATAGTTATCTCGTTCAATCTCGAATTTTAACATTTCACGTTATTTAAATCTTCTGGTTTGAAGTTTGGTATATATATTGTGAATATATACGGGAAAAGAAAACAGATTAGAGAATTTATCGAAGCAGCAGAATTTATCGTAATATTATAAATACTTGAATTTGCTTAAACCGTATGAAGTTATAGAAGACAAGATAATGTAAAAGTATCGAGGAAATTCGTGGAATTTGCTTTCATAGTCTCTATGTTAAAATTGAATAATATAACATAAATATATAAATGTAAATGAATAATATAATATAAATATATAAATGTAAATGAATAATATAATATAAATATAAATATATAAAAATATGATATAAATATAAATATATATAAATATAAATATAAATATAAATATATAAAAATACAAAACATATATAAACATAAGTAAATATAATTTATATAAAAATATAAAATACATATAAATATAAGTAGATATAAATATACAAAAATATAAAATACATATAAATATAAGTAAACATAAATATATAAAAATATAAAATATAAGTAAATATAAATATATATAATATAATATATAATATAAATATAATATAATATAAATTGGAAAAGAATTGTAAATAAAACGTTGCATTAACAGAACTTTGGTTCTTAATAGATTAATCTACAGGTATATATAAATAACGACACAAATAATTAATTCACTTTTCATTTCAAGTATCATGAGAAATGATACAACTATTTATTACTTTTAAATATGTTCAGAATAAAAGGGTACTTTTTTAAGTACAACAAAATGGTACTTTTAAGTACACTCAGAGTATGAGTTAACATTTCAACTTGCTTTTTATTTTAGCAAATAAAACAATATGTATTTAATATAAACGACAGTGTACACGGTAGTATATTTCGTAGAATAAAAAATACAAAATTACAAAATACAAAAAAAAAAAAAATACGCGCGATCACACAGACACGAAACAAAGCCAAAAGCAAGCGCTCAATATTATACTTTTAAATAAGATTTCCCTAATCACCCGCAGCGTTTAACCGATTAGAGGAGTATGTAAATCACAAATATATAAATCTAAACGCAACTATGATACGTACGTATGTGGATCAGGGCCTACTGAGAACGAGTCACGGCTTTGACCCACATGCGGCTCGATGAATAATAAACTCTCAATTAATCAGCCTGCCGATTACATATATTTCAAGAAACCATTTCACCTCCGAATCTTAAGATTACCGACCGTCATGTCAAACCATGATTAATCTTTACCTCGTAGAATGAAAATGCCAAGAGCTTTCGCTTTTTTTTTTCCATACAGTTCCGCAACTGATCGACAAGGACGTGAACAGATACGAATCCTCGGAGGAGAACGATCAGCAGGATGTGAAGGTTCCGTTCAAGTTAGAAGAGACTTACGGTGTAAACTTCCGCGCGAATACCTTCAACGGTACCTGGAGAACAGACACGAAAATCCTTTACTCCGATAGCATTCTCGGTGACACTCTCTTGTTCGATGCGGCCACGGGGACCACTTCGAGCCTGCTGGATTTCTCCGTGATAGTATGATTCATTTAACGTACATATTTTTATCTTTTGCTATGGAACCAGGAGAGATTTCTTTAGATTACTTTAGATTAAAGAGGGTCAAAGGTTCTTCTTTGGGAAGAATTTTTGGATATTTGAAATAGAGATGATCACTGGAACGACGTAACATTCTTTTGAATTATTACTGTACAATTTTCGAGTTATTGTTACATGCTACGCATTCCTGTTGAGAAGCCTTAGGATGATTTTTATTTTTAATGCTACAACTATTCACGATCGAAGCATAGAATTTTCGTTCAGTGACATTAAAGTAGAAAAATGAGAGAAGCTTTATAGTGCAATAAATTATAAACTTTTATTTGTATATTTCACGAGGAATTTAAATCTTCAACAGTACACCATTTTATATCTATAAAATTTCTAAAATTATAAATTGATAAATTATAAAATTATAAATTTCGAAAATATCTATAAAATTTCTATAAAATTATAAATTGATAAATTATAAAATTATAAATTTCGACAATTATGAATTGATTATTGGTAGTTCTGGTGTTAATATGCAGTATGTTCTTCATACATAACAAAATTCTTCAGATGCACATAAATTTTATAATGCAATTAACAGATTCTTCGTTAAAGTATTAACTTCATTTTATTAATATATTGATATATTTCAATTTAGTGATTTTTTCCGATTTTTTAAATCTAGCAAAACAATATAAATCGATGTGAGAGAATTTTGAAGATAAAGTCTGATATTTTCGAATTTTTCTCGTACAATTATCTCGTATAATTATTTAAGTACTCTTGAAATTTCCAGTTGGCATGTGCCACGAGCTTTCGGGAAATTACATACGTTTCAATTTCAAGAACAAATTACTTGAATGTCCAGCTACCTCTTGTTCGATCGAGGACACGTACAAATAACACAGCGACGGTTTAATTAATCGCACGGAAATTCTCCACGCGGCCCAGCTTCTTAACTGGTGAATTACAGTGTCCACTTTCGGGCGTGAATCAACATCGAACGTTGTTGATTTAAGAGACACGGTGTTTGACACTTTCTCTGTCCAATTTTCCTTAGTCTCGAATCATTCCTCCTCGCATCTCGTTTAGCGACATTCCACGTATAACATTTCCCAAACCTGTCCATGAAAACAAACACTTTCAAAACGTTTTCTTGTTTCAATAATCGAAGAAACTTTTAATTCGAATTTTCAATTCTCCATTTAAATTTCCAAGTTTAAGTCTTTTAGTTCGCAAATCTTCGTACCCCTGAAGTTAAAGCTCAAATTTTTATTCCACGATTTCATTTAGTTCGGTTCTTTTGCATTATCTTCATGGAAATCAATTATATTTTAGTAAAATCTGTTTTCATAAATAGTTTGCCATATACAAAAATATGCACAATAATGAGTAGTACAAGAGTAATACAAAATATAAAAATGCGAGAGTCGAAGAAATATTGACACACTTGTGATTCCAGTATTCAATCTGCATTTAATAGCGGGATGTTATTGAAAAAATTACAAAATGTCCTTTCGAATATAATGTCGAATATAATTTGTAATCGATTGAATCGTATCGCGCAATATTAGGAAAAGACGCTTGTCTTTCTTGAACTAATTATACTTAAAAACATTTTATTTTCTATTCTCGAATCTGTAGAAAGAAAAATCCCCCACGTGTAAATATCTCGAATTTTCATATTATTGCATAACTCATTAAATTGCTATTGAGCACTTTGCTCTTCTATGCAGTAAACTATTTACGGAAACAGATTTTGATGGTATATCATTGTGTCAATATTTTTCGGTCCATTGTATATTTTCTGCAAGAGAACAATTCACCGTTTGTTAATAACAATCCTTTGAGTGCAGAATACTGAATTTCAATGTTCATCCTATCGTTAAATTAATGCCACGATGATATATCGATAGTCTGGAACAATCTAAGATTTATCGTGTCGTAACACATCCGATAACCTGACACGAAATCAATACTATCGATATTCGAAATCAGTCAAGCATTTGTTCCAGAACACTGCCCCGATACATTGATATTGCATCCAATTTTGAATATTTGCTATACCATCGAGATCAATTTCCGTTCGCCAACAAAATGGCAGATGAATCTCGGCCCTTCTTGTCAAATATTCGCGATCGTTCTTCGCTGATTTCGACGCCATTTTCGACTGGAAATTTATTGGAAATATTTTATACATTGACACTAACGTGATTTCAGGCCGACTTCAACAAGCCATCCGTAAGCTTCTCCTTCGACAATTCTTTCGTCGTGATTGGCCATGACTACGAAAGTGTGAGTATGCAAATTCTTCAGTTTCAACCATTCTTCATTCCAGTAATTTCAATATACGAATCTATATAAGTTGTTTCTTCCACTTTTATATAGGAAGTAGATAAAGAAAGACGATTATAATCGTATCTGTTATAAAATAGAACCTCGAGATTCTTGATTTCGAATAATATGCATAAGGCATATATAAATACTGATCAAGTTTTGCTATTACTAAAATTTTACTTTCTTTATCCAGAAGCAACATACCTTTTCTTTTTCACGTTTTTCAAAATCAGAAATTTCTTCGTATTTCATTTCGTTAGCCTTTGTTTATTTATTTGTTTGTTTACTTATACGAAAGAGTGAAAAATAACACCAGATCTCTTTCAAATATCTCTCGGAGATATAACAATAACCAATAGTTGATGAAAGCAAAACCATAACATTTGTGTTAGAAGCATTATTGAAACAGTCGATGGAACGCGGTTTGAGGATTTATCTTTTAAACGAAGCGGAGTTTCAAACGAGGCAGATGGAAAAATGGAAATAAAAAGTTGAAAAGAATTATTATAGCTGAAAGATATTTTTTGATATCTAAACGCTTTGTGTCTCACTTCGATATTAATCTTTCTAAGATAATTTAAAAAGAAATATTTCTTAATTATGACTCTGCAATTTCAATGAAAAAAATATGCCAGCATTACTGATCAATAGTACTGCAACGCTTTCAATTTCATTTCTGTTTTCTCAGTAAATACATTTATATAAAAATAAAGAAATATGTGTTATCGACTTTCAGGGTTTCCGATACTCAGTATATCAACGGTGCGTCGTATACAACACTAAAACCAAGTAAGCCGCCCGTTTTATATTACCGACAATTTTTAACGACTTTGTGATAAATCACATTACGAAAACGATGCAATACGCTCGTCGTAATAATGATAAAAAATTAACTCTCGTTTGTTTATTTCATCCTGTGTTTGTCAATATATACAGACGTAAAATACTGACGATATCAATAATCGTGTACAATATCGATGTGATTAAAAACAAAAAAAAAATAATTCTAATCGTAAAGTCTGTTTGTCATGTGGACTTTTTTTAAATTTAATTCAATTATCGGGATGATAAGATTGAAATAAAAATGTCTCATGAATTGAAACTTTATCTATATAATAAACCTTTTGAGAGTTAATCTTAAATAACGTTGATCTTGTACAATTTTTATACGTTACGTTAATTTTTTGACTGCGAGTTTTTATAAAAACTTGTATTTTTGAAAAATTATAATTTAAAACATAACATCTCGTAAAATTGTTTTACGTACCAGTTACTATAAAAGCTTGGATACTTTATACACATTGAATATTTTATGCTCTTTATATATCCTACAATATTTCACATCCTACATACATATTGAATGCGAATTTTCATCGAACATTTTCATACTTACTTACGTTCTACGTAACTTTGCACTTTCAAACTTTCTATCAGCGAATTAACTATAGTATGTTTCTAGTCTTTTGTTTAATAAAACAAAAGCAGATTCAAGGAATTATTGCTAAATTGGAATTATGAATTTTTGCACGTTTCTTTTCATACGTTCTTTTGCTTTCGTTCACGTATAGTTCGTACATGGAGATCGCGAATGGCGATCGCATACCCTTGATCAAGTGGTCGCCCACGAGGAACGCTTTGATTTATGTTCACGAAAATGATATCTATTATCAAGTGTTCTCCGATCGAAGCAGCATTCGAAGAATAACGGACACCGGTGTGCTTGACACCGTTTATAACGGAGTGCCTGATTGGGTTTACGAAGGTAATTAAGAAAAATGATAAAATAGATAATCTTAAACTTTGATGGCGTTTGATATCGAGGTGTGCGACATTTTTCTTAACAAAATTTCTTTATTATTAATCAACGTCAAGCTATTGATTAATTGATTGATTAATTAATAGGCGTTGATCTTTGAAAAATTCTTTATTAACACCTAGTTATTAGGCTAATTACTAGATCATTGATCTTAGAAAAATATGTATTATTAACATTAAATTGTTAGTGTGATTAATTAATAGACATTGATCATACAAAAATTTGTATTGTTAAATTTGTACTGTTAATATTAAATTATTAGTGTGACTAATTAATAGACATTGAATGTAGAAAAATTTGTATTATTAATATTATAAATATTATAAATATTATAAATATTAATATTATAAATATTATAAATATTATAATATATATTATTAATATTATAACATATATTATTAATATTATAATTAATATATAACATATATTATTAATATTATAATTAATATATAACATATATTATTAATATTATAAATATTATAATATATATTATTAATATTAAGTTATTAGCAATTAATTTTTATATTATTAATATTAAATTATTAATGATTAATTAATAGACAGAAATTTTTATAGAAATTTTTAACAATAATTAATAATCGAAAACATCCATATATGAATATTTACAGAGGAAGTGTTGGCCTCTGCTTCGGCTGCCTGGTTCTCCCCTGATGGACGACATCTTGCTTTTGCAACCTTCAATGATACTAACGTGAGAGAAATAGGGATGTTACGTTATGGGATTCCAGGAAACATAAAATATCAATATCCGGAGGAATTAAAGATCAAGTATCCGAAGGTAATTATTTTTAATATATTTACTAGCTAGGTAGTATATTTGGTATCGATTAATATCGATTAGGCAATTTTCGACAATACGTGAGTGCTGAAAACGAAAATTTAGTTAAACAAGAGCAATCGGATTGGATCATTGTTCTCTTGTTGTAACCGGTTTGGGTACGTGTACCAAAGTCATGAAAGAATCAGATTAGAAAGCTCAGGTTGCTTCTGCAGGTCTCGTTATAGGGTTTAAAAGGGGATGAAAAGAGTTATCTCGCCGTCGTTCTGGCATTTAACTCTCTGTTTTTCTGGTAATAGAGCCATTTTCTACGTAGTTGTATCACGATCGTGAAAAACTGCTTCGATTCGATATTGAACCTTCACGTGAAAGCAATCTCTTTCTAAAGCTATCTTAATTTGAAACACACGTTCCATTTGTACGTACATATCTCGTACAAACTCTGTTCGTTTTCTTTAACCTAATTTTCCAAGAAAAAAAAAAAAAAAAAGAAACAATGAAACTAATTAAAATTTGTATGTTTGTGTCTTGAATATTCATATAGATATTCACGTAAATAATTTTAGACAGGCAGTCCAAATCCAGTCGTATCGATGACCATCGTCGACTTGGATAATCCCTTCAAATTAATCAATCTTGAACCGCCTATCGATGTTGTTGGCTGGTGAGTATTTTGCAAGGATTAACATTATAACTGTTTTATCATTTGCAAGTTCAAGTTCAAAGTTAATCAAGCTAATGTATTCATAGCATTTCTCTTCCTTCAAAATGTCTCTTGAAAAACAGATCAATCAGTAATAGTGAAACATAAATTTTTTTTGTTAAAAATATCCCATTATTCTAGTTTTCTACGAATAACACAATTACAAATTTTAACTTAGATTGAAAAAAGAATCTAATTTAGAAAAGTTTTAAATTATCTTAACAGAAAGACAAAAATCTTAAATTTACGATCTCTGAAATCTCTCTTCTTAAAAACCTAAGATAATAACTCTAAATCCAATAAAATCCTCTAAATATTCCGCTAGTAACGCAAAATATATTCTCCGAAAAATTCTCCAAATACTTTGGGATTAAATAAAATCAAATAAAGGTTCTGCTTAATTTTTCAAAATATTCTCTCTCTCTCCCTCTCTTTCTCTGACACAGGGACTACGTTCTCTACACCGTGAGATGGAGAAACAATTACCAGGTTGCTGTCACCTGGACGAATCGTGTGCAGAATAAGGCTCAGATAGTTCTTTACGACACGAAAGGCAACAGCAGTAACATTTATTACGAAGAGGAAAGCGAGGGTTGGCTTCGTATTCTGCCTCCCATTTTCTACAACGAATACGTGATTATTGTGAAACTTCAGGACTCTGGAACGTCGGCTGGACGGTTCCAACACGCGGTCAGGTTCAAGTACACGGCTGGGAAATTGATCGATGAAACGGATTTGACGGCAGGAGCTAAGGAAGTGATCTCTATTTTAGCTGTCGATCACGTCAGGGGTAGACTTTATTATTTGGGCAACGAGTTCGGTGCACCGTCGCAGAGAAATTTGTACTCGGTGCAATTGAACGGCAATCAGAAACCCGTTTGTCTGTCCTGTAACGTCGTTAGCCCCGAGAGTGAGTATATAATATTATATATAATATTATATATAAAATATATATTATATTATGTACAGAAGCAGTGAGTTTCGAATGTAGAAAGTCGTTCAACATTTTTGAAATTTTGTATTAGCACGATTGTGAAACTTGACTATCGTAATCATGTTGATAAAACTTGACTTTTGGAGGAGTACGGGAATTGTAAAATGAAGCATGAAAGTGTTATATTGAAACATTCAATGAACCAGAATTCAATGGGGTCACATATAGCACTTATCATATGATCTTATTTAAGAGTGACGTAGAAGATTATTCATGTTGTACAGTAATCCTTTTATGGAACAAGTCTCGCTGTAATTATTTATTATAATAAGTGCTGTTTAATCTTCTAATTAAATTGTGTCTTATGTCACCTACTTTTTTTCATTTTATTAAAATATGAAAAGATAAATCTCTCCATCAGATCTTCAGATTTTGAATAATTACGTCAATTCTGTTTAATAGCTGTTAATATTTTAATTTTCGAGTATAGCTATAATATTTAGTAATATTATAACATTGTAATAGTTTATAATATAATAGTAATATTATAATATTATCGATTGTTTTACAGGAAAACGCTGCACGTACGCTTACGCATACTTCTCCACGGATTGTTCGTATTACGCATTGTCCTGTTCTGGTCCGGATCCCGTATTCGTCACGATTAGAAACGCCGATCATAGAAAAGTTTACAATTGGGAGGAAAATCGATCGCTCAGACGAAAAGTGGCTGCCCGCACGCAACCTACTTACAAGAATCTTCAAGTCCCTATGAATGGATACAAGTGTAACGTGAAACTCTCTCTGCCACCCGATTTCGACGAGAAAAAACGTTATCCCCTATTAATCAACGTGTAAGTTAATTATTTATCTATCTAATTTTTCTATGGAACGTGGTAATTTTTCGAACATATCGTGCTTCAAAGTTTAATAACAGTACTTTTTTATTCTATATTGATACTTGATAAATGTTATTGAATTCGTTTTCTTTGCACAAGATTATAAGAATATTATACAGAATATTTAAAACATTTTATTCAACATTTATTCCATGTTTATTCCATAAATATTTATTCTACAAATATATACATTTTGTATATAAATATAGAAACAATACGTTTCTATCATTAAAAGTTCAGTAATTTTCTAAACTTCTTGGCACTCAATTATTTTCTTCTAATTAATTAAAAGTTTCCCAATTGAAAGATGAATGAAAAATAATTTTCCAAACTTTCGGCACCAAATTAGTTTCTTCCGATTGATTAAGTGTTTCCTAATTAAACGATGAATAAATAATATAATTATTTTCTCTACGAATATGAAAATTTCTCACTATCAATCAATAATCAACCGGTAAGAGAAAATATATGTTAAACACACCAAAATGAAGATCCACGCATACGACAGGGCATAAGTTAGTACCCACGGTTCGATTTCTCGATTATCTTTGGCCTGTTTCGAGCAAAAATCCGCGAAATCGAGTGGCTCCTTAATCCTGAATCTCGTATCCAACCGTTCGAAGCCATTATATGATTAGTCTACACGCAAGACAGAACCGTAATCTCCATTTCCGATCGCAGTACAGTCCCACCGGTTCGTTTCTACGCTAGCACGACGTTTCATCGATTTCCCATCTCTGAAATGTCCTATTCCATTTTGCATTTTTCGCAGTTACGCAGGTCCGAACACTGTCAGAATCACCGACGAGGCGTCGTTTGGTTTCGAATCGTACATGGTGACCAACAGAAGCGTAATTTACGGTCGTATCGACGGCCGTGGATCAGCTTACAAGGGTAGCAAGATGCTGTTCGAGATCTATCGACGACTCGGTACCGTGGAAATCGAGGACCAGATTGCCGTTACTAGGTGAATCTTTTAATAGCATTTTCACTTATTTATCACGAAGCATTGAGATTCGTTTGGAAATGGAACAATCTCTGGAAAATTTAGAAAAAGATTGATTTGTCATATTCTTTTCGTACATATACAAGCAAATTAGATGTTTATTCTGAAGATACAATAATTAATTATTTTATATAATAATATAATTATATATAATATTATATTAGAGAAATATATTATATTATATGATATATAATGTTATATTTATATAATAATTAATTATTATATAGTATAATTTTGGGAAGCTCTGTTTTCTTTTATTATTCTGTTTTTCAGTAAATATTCCAAATGAAACGACATTTTACCATCATGAAATTATGATGTAACAATTTGCTATTTCTGGAATATTTTATATTTTATACTTTTATTGTCAGGAATATTTTATATTATTTGGAATAATATTTTATATTATTTTCTATCTTTCTTTATTACGTTACCTTTAATAATTATTCCAAAGAAAAACGATGTGTCAGTGTAATAAAATTTACAATTTATCGTTTCAGGAATATCTCACGTAATGTCTGAGATTTCAATAGTGACGCGTGCGTATGATTTTTAGGTTACTGCAAGAGACATATCCGTGGATCGATTCAAGCAAAACCGGGATATGGGGTTGGAGTTACGGCGGTTTCTCCACTGCTATGGTGCTGGCTACTGACAGGAAATCGGTGTTCAAATGCGGTATATCAGTCGCACCTGTGACCTCCTGGATTTATTATGGTAATTTCGTACCTTGTCGCACGTAATAAATATCTAACATATTTATCACCACAATATCGCCACATGTTTCAAGAAAATATAGAATTTAGTTTCACGGACTTCCGAATTCTACGTAAACGTGCAAAGCGTATGATTGGTTACAAGTTAGTTGCAAAAGTTATTAGTTATTATTAGTTAAAAAAATATATAGTTATCGTCGATACGATGTTTCCCTCGCGATAAAGTAATTTTAATTCACTCTACTGTAATTCTGAGGAAATTTAGAAAATTCATATTTGCCAAAAGATTTCAAAATTATCTAACTATTTTATGAGTTTCTATTTTATAATTTCTCATTTCCTCTCCGAAGGAACAACTATCTTGGAAAAGTCAGAAGGTTCATTCGCGTAATTCTAAATTCTCTCTGCGAATCTTGTAACTGTCATAAAAAAAAAAGAAACGTGATCGATTAGAAAATATTTACACGAAAGAAAGTTTATAAAAAGAAAAACGCCAGATTGAATGGGTGAACGTTCAGAAATGTTATTTATTCATACACGCGTGAAGTATCCTTTGCTCGTCACTATTGATTCTTCCTCACAGTGTAGCAAATTGACCACTCGCGTAACTCACGCACCAAGATCGTAAAGTCAAAGGTTATCTTCGATCGTAGATTCTTTGTACACGGAGAGGTTCATGGGGTTGCCCACCCCCGAGGATAATCTGCACGGCTACAACCATTCGGATGTGACCAGGCTGGTGGAAGGGATCCGTGGCAAAAAGTTCATGCTGATACATGGTACTGGCGACGACAATGTCCACTACCAACAAGCCATGGCCTTGAACAGGGCTCTAGTGGACAAGGACATCATGTTCGAGCAACAGAGTTACACGGACGAGGCGCATGCTTTGTCCGGCGTCTTTCCTCACCTGTACCACACCATGGATCGATTTTGGGCCAATTGTCTGGGATACTAAGATTCTAAATTCGAATTTCTGGATCACGCGCGCAAAGGACAGCCAGCCGAGCTGCTTGTTTGATTTTCATCGATACGACGTAACGGACGTCGACGAAGAACGAAGCTTGTTGACTTTCGAAAACGGCTTACGAGTTCTGTTAACACATTGGCTGTCATGCAACGAGTGTGTTAGTGAATCGATATTATTATTCAATTAAATAAGTTTCGAAAGTTAAAGAGAAAGAACAATGAACAGAACGTGTTATTATTATTTAAAGTAAAAAACGCTGTTTCGAATGTGTTGAACTGTGGCGATCTAAATTGTATCATGGACGACGCGACGAATTTGACAGGCTCAATCGTTGGAATGTAATTCGAGAGAGGATGACGGAATTTTCAAGAGAATGAACATTCGAATGAGGACAGGCGTGTCACGATAATTTGAAAAGAACAACAATTTTGGGAAAGATGACGTACACAGAGTATCCTTAATTCACTCCCCCAAAGTGTCAGGATTATTCTTCGATATGTTTTGAGAGAAAAGGGGAGGAAATGAAAATTTTTGCGTATCAGGATTATTCTTCAACGAGAGGAAAAGAGAAAAAGAGATGAAGACTTTCGTCGAAGAGTATCATACAAGTGTCAGGATTATTTCTTTAAATGCAATTTGGAGGGGGAAAGGAAGGAGACTTTGCCGAGGAAACGGCGTTGAAAAAGGAGATTGTGAACGGTTTTAGGGATTCGCAGCCGTGTTCACGCGTGTTCTACCTTGGCAGAGATACGATGCAAATAGTTCAAAGGCGGACGAATCGATACTTAAGGGTGCTCGATGCATTTCCGTGGCAGTCAAGTAAGTGGAAAATGGATTGCGCGAGGACGTCGAAACAGGTGAATCTTTTCGCTCCGTCTTTTTGTTTTCCGTTTTCCCCTCATCATCGCGAGAGCATCGAAATTCGACTGCGGCCTCGATGGGAGGAGCTGCATTCCATTTGTCATCGGATAATATTGATCCAGTAATTTTCTGACGTTCTCCGCGAGTGAAAGCCGAAACTGTAAATTTTGTTGTAACGATTGTCAATAAACCACCGATATTTTCTTTCGAAATGATACCATAATTATTTTATTATTGAATTATATTTTATTATTACTATTTGTGTATTTTTATTATTACTATTTTGTTGTTTTATTATTTTATTTTCATTAGGTGAGTATTAGTTATTGGATTGTTCACCGTCGGCGAAGAGATTAATGTGTATTATACGATTGATTATTCTTTACAAATGAACTGAATAATTTTGAAAGTCCCGTCCTTTTATTGAAAAATTGCACGTATATGTATTTCTATGTTTTTTTGAATTATATAATTATTAGCTATAAAGAACATACTGTTTGTGTTGAAGTAATCAAGTAATTCCGATATGTAAATATTTCAATAAACTTGAATTTCAATTTTATATTGTACTTGAAACACTTAGAACATTTATGTCCGTTCTCTTCCTATTTACAATTGACATTTATTTTAACATTTATTAATTAAATAATATTTATTCGTATAGGTTGCTATATTTAATATTGATAGATTATTTGTATTTTTTATAATATTTATAATATCCTCAAGAATACTAACAAAGAGACGAACGATTCATTACACAATCTAATAAAAGATGTTGGAAGGTTTTATTTTTAATCGATCGTTAATTAAAATTAGAATATGTCATGATTTCTATCCTACAGTTTATAGAGTATTATATATTGTATTTACGTTAATTTATGTTACTGTACTTATGCAATAGATATCAGGTAGCATAACTATCCGTAATTTAATTATTATTGAACTATCACGTTTGTATATTTAATACTTTTATATTTAATTAAACGAATCGTTTTGCAAATAATTCATTTATCGTTGCACGTTCTAAGAAAAAGAATTATTAATATCGACGAGGAAGTAAGGTTTGAAAAATGAAAGACAAAGGCACTCGGAGGATCACTGATTACTACGTTCACAAGATCGTAGATATTTGAGTAATTATTATACCTCGTTAAAATATAGAATTCAACGCTGATGAAGCAAAATTCGCAATTATTCGAAACTACGGATATATATTACGGCGTAAAATGTAGGGAGAATCGCTCAATTTCGATGTGAATTCCCTGCCGCGCAATGATATTCGAGATCACGGCGCACAGTGTTTTAATCGGCGATTTGATCGTTGATTTTTCTCAATGATGGAAGCGGTAACCGTGAAATATCGGATTAAATCTGGCCGTGGTCGTGATTGCTTGCCGGAATGGGTTCAGTTCGCATGAGAAATCAGAAAGAAGAATCATAAATGTCGGTATAACGTAGTCGCGAAAGAGCGTGCTACGTGAAACGTGTCGGCCATGTATCAACCGGAAAAGTAATAAAAATGGAGAGACAAATGATCCTTTTCTACTTTGCTTAGCGTATCGACCGTTTCATAGCGCGTAGCCGCTCGTCGAATTAATCGACAATACGCGCGAGCAGCTCCGCGGAATTTGTTTGCGAATTTCACGAGCCACGTGCTCTTCTCAACTCGCTGACCTAAAATGAAGACTATAGCGGAAGAACATTTAATGAGTGACATTTTTCCAATTTTTTTTTTCACAGGGCAATAGTTTTATTGCCAATTAATCTCACCTTAGGAAAAAATGTCCTTTCATTTTGTTTTATTTTATTCTTTTATCCTTATGTCTTTTTGTAGTTTAAAAGATATTTCAAAGCATTGAAGATATTAAAATATTGTTTGTCTTCGATAATCGTACCTTTAGTTGAATCTGTCAAGACCTTTGTTTTATGTTAAAATATTCCGTTTTTACTGTAAAATGAATATTAAGAGCAAAAGATGGACAGAAATGTACTTATCATTGTTCTATAGCACTTCTTCTCCTTTTTCTTCTTTTGCCAACACTCATTTTCATTCCTTGTGTCTTTCTCTGTTCTCTCTTCGTAACATTAAGGTTCTTTTTTCCCTCAATTTTCTACCTAAAGTGTCTTCATTCTTTCGTAATCTACTACAGTGTCTTTCGTTCTTTTAATGGTCCGCTTCGTTTCGTTGAGACACTGTTTTATGTATCGTGACTCTTTCGCTCTTCCTTCTCTGTTTCTCTATTTTGTTTCTCGTTTATCTTGTCGAGTTATTAAATATACGACTTTTATATAGAGAAGCATCAGAAAATCCCCTGAACACAGCAGGGCGTGAAAATATCTGAAAAACAGACCGTCTCTAAAATAGGGATTATGTCACGCGACTCGCACAAGTTACGACACGATGATTTATTGTGTAAATATGACAGAGGAGTGCAATAGTCAAAAAAACTCAAATCAATCTCGAAGTCAGATAATTGTAATCTAAAATCTGAACTGTTTTGTTGCACGCAAGAAACATTCGTATATAGTTAATTTCGTCGAGCAATCTGTCGAACGTAAAAACGCTAGAAGAGAGACAATTATAGACGTATCCTACCATCATTTTTTCATAGTCGTTTATTACTTTTCCATTGTTCTCGTCTTACAAGCCTCGGGCCGAGCCAACCTGAAAGTACTTCTTCCCTTTCAACCTGAACTTACTCACTCTAATTCGACCATTCTGCAACTTTCTTCTTCCCTCTCTCATCAATCTACTTTTTTCCACCCCCTTTCTCACTACTTTCCCATATAATCGAACTTTCCCATTCTTTAATTTCCTCCGTTCTCCCCCAAGTTCCTTTCACATTCTGCGCCTCTCTATTCGAAACTTGGCCCTTTAGCCTTTCATTCTCGATCCCCCCCCCTCTCTCTCTCTCATCCCCCAGAGTATTCACTCTCTCCCAGTCCCCTCTTAGCCGGACCGTGAAACAGATTCAGGAGGACGGAAACGAAGTTTGTCATCTTTCCGGGCAGTCGATGCCTACGGCCGATGCCAACTCGATCGGCCGGTTCCGGTCAAAGAGACCATTGTGTAATTTAATCAGCCGGCTCGGTATCGTTCCCCCGAGTCGCGACGTCGAAAACATTGCTCGCCCCGAACATCCACCACCACCACCCCATCGACGAACTCGTTGACCTGGAATCGCGCGACTCACTGGCCAACTGGAAGAAAAATTCGACCAACTTCAGGAAACGCGTAGTGCACTTTGCTAACATTCCCCTTGAATTCTCGTACAATTCTTACTTCCTGCATGCCAGTACTTTTCGCTGCACATATTGTAACAGTAGTTACATTAAAAATGCGATAACTGGGGAGACGAAGTTGGTCAGATTATTATATTATTATATTATATGTTATTTACATATTTGAATAATTTTTGAATATGCTGGTTGGTCAGATGGATATTTGAAGTTTTTAAACGTGCTAGTTTGTTGGAGATTATATAGTGTAGGATACAGCAAGTGAATTATAATGGAATATAATTTAATAGGAATTTTTGTTGCGCCTTTTTTCGAACAAAGTATCAAAGTTGGAAGAATATAATTGGCTATGATTGGTTTTCGAACAATATTATTAAGTTATAGATGTCTTATTTACATTGAATTACAAAAATTTAGGATATAATTCGAGAATTTAAGATTGAAAATATTTTGGATATATTTGGGAATTTAGGAAGAAGAAAAGAATTTAGAATGTGTATAGATTACAAAAGTTTAGGTTGTAGACGATTATAGTAATTTATGTTAGATTACAAAAATTTAGAATATTTGCGACATTTATTATTTAAGATTAAAAGGATTTGAAACATATTTGGGAATTTAGGAAGAAGAAAAGAATTTAGAATGTGTATAGATTACAAAAGTTTAGGTTGTAGACGATTATAATAATTTATGTTAGATTACAAAAATTTAGAATATTTGTGACATTTATTATTTAAGATTAAAAGGATTTGAAATATATTTGGGAATTTAGGAAAAAAAAGAAGTTAGAACAGATTACAAAAATCTAAGTTGTAAATGCAATTTATGTTGGATTACAAAAATTTAGATAAAATTTGATATTTAGGATCAGTGAAAAAAATTGAATGAAATTAAAAGTTTCTAAATATCAAATATCCTATATATATATAACTAAAATCCTATCTCTCATATCTGCAATATCAGTTAAGAAGAAAATATATTAACTCTACTGTAATCTACAAATTTTTCTACTTTAATTTCTTCTTCTCATCTTGACAAACAGAAAGAGTTTCTAATATTTCAAGAGTATATTTAATATACATGTGCATATATATATATATCAATAAGAAATATTTTAATAAGAAATAATAGAAGGTTGTACCTCTGATTCTGCATAAAAGAATAAGTTTAAAAAACAAAGAATAAAATTTTTCCATTTAAAGAATTCCGAGTTCGAAAATTTAGTGTATTATATTTGAATTTAACTAATTCCAGATTTGAAAAAAAGAATAATTAAAAATAATTAAGTCATTCTACGTTCAAAAGTAATTTAAAAAAAACGCACTCTTGAATGGAAAAATTTTATTCGTTATTTTCGACTAATTTTTTTCATTTAGTCACCTCTTTTCCCAATTATATCATCGGATCAGGAATACCCATGTATTGTTCGAACTGGAGGTACCTTTCATCACTAGGAAAACACAACTGGGTCAACAGTTGAACGTAATAAAGTCAAGCACAAGCATAAGTCTGGCCCCGAGATTTTGTGTTATTTCACGCACAGGTTTCATCTAAGATACGGTAAAATAAGATTACGTTTGCAAATTTAAGCATTGTTCAGCGTCTAGAAATTAATGGCTTGGAAATTGGTGCTTGTTTCGAGTCGACGATGTTTTTATCGGGAGGGATATATAATATCGTCGACCCACGCGATACTATCCGTTTCTTCATGGTGAACTGGGCTAAGGCCTCGGGCTTATCGCCGCGTATGCACATCCTGACGGCTTAAGCGCCGCTTTAATAACCAAGGAACATCGCGAAGGACGAGTTGGCACGCGAACCTAACTCCCTCTCCCCTTCGACCAACTGTTCTGGTTGATTTACAACGAGGAATTGCTCGTCCAGCGAATCGAGGCCGCCTCAAAAATTGTTTGTCGACCGTCTAGAACCGGCTATGACCGATTTGGAACGTGGCACCGATGTTTCCAGCGAA